TTTTACTTGTATATTAGTGTCCAATTTGTTTTGTTTTTCGTGAAAAAAAAAATGAAGAGATGAACATAAAAGCTTACTTGATTATAGCGAGAATGCGATGACGGGTTCCATATATTCATCGAGTACCAAAATATTACACATGACGAAATCTAAGTAAAATAGAGATTTTAAATCATTTGAACATTTGATATATAGAAAACATTGGTTTATTAAAGTTTAACTTTATCCAAATTTCAAATGAATTTCAATACTTATAAAATGATTGAGACATCCGTGAATATTCAATGAAAATTCTACGTTTTCCACGTATTGTCACATCATATTGCGTAAATTTCAATAAATCTTTGTTTATAAATATTTAATGGAATGTTAATTATACAATTAAGCCGAGAGCGATTTCTGGTTTTGAAAAACAAAGTGTTTAAGTTTAGAAGAATAATACTAATGTAATAATATGGAATATTTGTGGGCAGAGGTAGGTGTAGCATTGAGAATACTAGTTCAGGTCTGACTTTTATCTCATTTTAAGGTTAACGCACCGAACAGCCTTGCTTACAAAACCATTTTACTTTCAACAAATTGTGTATTCGCTCTAATTTGTATAAATGCAGCAACAACAAATCTTCAAATGATCATCTCCAAACATATCAATTTGTTTATTTGTATAGAAAAAGAAGATGTAAACATACAAATTCAACAACTTCCTAGAATTTAGATTACATCAGTAATCAAGTAATCATCTTCATGCGTTGTTGCAACTATTTAAAAGAAAACTTCCTTGAATTAACATTCGACCAATACAATAATAAAATCAATATCAGTGATAATGGTACGTTTTATGTACGAAAACCATCGATAATTCTTTGTACAAATGTTGACCTGTTCTATTAAAAAGTCCCAAGACTGGAACCGCAACGGCGACTCACGTTGTTTGCATATAAATTTGCGAGCATTTATCCATCGATTTGCAGGTCCAAAAAAAAAAAAAAAATCACGGATTCGCGACGAAAGGTTGAGTATTTCTGTAAATAGGAATAAATAAAATGGTTAGAGGCGTTCTGACCGGAACGGAATTGAATGGAGATTCACATTTAACGATTCGTTTGCGTGATCTTCTGATCTTTAATAAACATGTAAATAAATATGACTACTTTGCACCGATTGTGTAACTTAGCTTAGTCGTACTTGAAATTGTTATAATTGTATTGTGGGAAAGTTTGTTTGTAAATCTAAAAAATATATATTCTTCATTCTAGTTTTTAAAAGTATTAGTTTTTTCTATTCGATCATTTAAATTACTGAGAACATTATTTACTTATTACTTATTACTCAATGGTAGATCCAGTGGCTTTTGTTATTAGGCAATTGTCCAGAAGATTAACAACTATTTTTAATAATTGATTCCTCCACTGTTTTCATTTGAAGGTCCTCATGAATCCTTCTGTTTGTAATATATCATGGATCACCAATAATCCTCTCTACAACTACATTTCGTAGATTCTAATTACTTAATAAATCTCATAAATCAGCAACCAGTTTTCGTTTTGAAATTGGCGAGTCCTTCCATAATATAATGGAACTTAATTTCGAGTTGTTCTCTTTTTGCTTTTCTATGATCTTTCCAGGTCAATCTTCTCTATCTAGATACATAGCCAGATATTTAACTTTATTAGGAGTCCTTTCTCATGGACAAACTAACATGCATTAATTTCGATTCATTCTTCATTTTTGTAGCCATTCCTGTATTAAGTCCTGGTTAACTTTCATCTGATGTGTTCAGAAATCACAGATTCAGATGATGTGAACTAAATCGAAAACCGAAATTAACAGAATTATAACAGAACTGTAAACGTAACGATATGTATTGTTTCAAAAATGTATTATTTATCATTAGCTATAAATGAAGATAGACTAGAAACTGCTCGTTCCTCAAATAATTCATCAGAATGTCGTGCTCCATGGATGGAAAATCGAGTCACTGAAATATTTTCTGCACCTGTCTGTTGTGTTGTCTTAGGGTTTGTAAATAATCAATCAAACGAGTTTTTACTTGTGGTTTATTCTTAAAAAAGTTTTGTTGAAGAGTTTGGTATATTGTCTCAACTAGTAATATGTAGTTTTTCCCATAACTATACTTCTAAGACTTCCTTTAAAGTGATTACTAAGACTAATTAGAAATACTTATTCTATTTAATTTAACTAAGCAATTAAGCAATGTTTTTATTGGTTTTTGATCTTTATGGAATCACAGATATT